ACCGTAATTAAATGCCTAAAACCCCTGAGCTTCCGGGGCTCCGCCCCCTCGAACCCGCCAGGGGCTCTTCGGCGGGCACCAGGATGCTTGTCTGACCGTTATTTAATGCCTGAAACCCCTGAGCTTCTGTGGGCTCCGCCCCTTGGACCCCACACCCATTTGTGTCCAGCCAGTGTCACAAATAAGGTATCGAAATATGCGCAGCTGACCGTAATTTATTGCCCGAAACCCCTAAGCTTTCGGGGGCTCCGCCCCCTGGAACCCCACGCCAATACGTGACCTGCCAGTGTCACAAATAAGCTATACAAATATGCTCATCTGACGGTTATTTAATGTTTAAAACCCCTGAGCTTCTGTGGGCTCCGCCCCTTGGACCCCACACCCATTTGTGTCGTGCCTGTGTCACAAATAAGGTATCAGAATATCCTCATCTGACCGTAATTTATTGCCCAAAACCCCTAAGCTTCCGGGGGCTCCGCCCCCTGGAACCCCACGCCAATTCGTGACCTGCCAGTGTCACAAATAAGGTGTAAAAAATTATACTCATCTGACGATAATTAAATGTATAAAGCCCCTAAGCTGCTAGGGGCTTCGCCCCCTGGACCCAACACTAATTTGTGTCATGCCAGTGTCACACATAAGGTATCAAAATATGTTCATCTGACCGTAATGTATGGCCCAAAACCCCTGAGCTTCCGGAGGCTTCGCCTCTAGACCCCATGTCAATTCGTGACCTGCCAGTGTCCCAAATAAGGTATAAAATATGCTCATCTGACGATAATTTAATGTATAAAACCCCTGGGATTTTAGGGGCTCCGCCCCCTGGACCCACGCCAATTCGTGACCTGCCAGTGTCACAAATAAGGTATGAAATATGCTCAGCTGACGATAATTTAATGTATAAAACCCCTGAGATTCTTGGGACTCCGCCGAGACCCCCGCCGAGAAACGTTCAGCGGGTCATGCATCTAAGAGTGTCTACCCCCCAAAACGTTTTTGCCACTGCCGGTGTCACCATTAAGTACAAATATTTGGCTCGCATAATTTCAAATTTGGCCCACCCCCCCCCCCCCCTAAGAAATCCTGGATTCGCGCCTGGTCGACATAAATATGGCGAGGCCGGCGTAAAGGTCAGCGTAGTAATCGTCTGAACGACATTCGTGTTAGCTACGCCGACCTTTTTTCCGACCGACTTATTCCTGGATTTATCCAGGAGTAACGCGCTAACACGACAAGAGGGTAACGTATTTAAAGTTGATCGTATGGATGCTCTCACTTGGCACACGGAATATATGTGACCTTTAACGAGGGTTGTTTGTTTACGATCGAAAAATAAAATTAAATTCGCACAGTTTAGATGTTGTTGTTGTTGGGTTTATTGGCGCTATCCATCGATTCTGATGATTACCGCCAGGCTGGATGTAAGAATGCGTCTTGCTCTCACTTCGACTCGATGCGGAAGCTGGGTTGAGGTTGACTCGTGAGGGCGCCACAACTTCCAGGGGCGAATCCAGGGGCGCACGCCCGCACCCCTTCTACCTTAAAAAACATAAATGTTCAGTTTACTCATTTAGAAATGACTCAGAACGTACCATAGAGCATCTTAAGATTCAATATTTTCTGGGGCCCCACACCGTAAAGGCTCCGCGCTTGCAATTTCGTACATTTCAATCCCCCCCCTTTCGAAAATCCTGGATCCGCCTCTGACTTCTGGAAGCTACACTGAGTAAGACTAGGTCGGTGAAAGGCCGTGTTAACTTAATCATGGCAAGTTGATCCGAGTGGTGTACAAGTCAAATATGTATGGGATATGCTGCTGCAGGGATTATCTAACGCCGACTAGAAAGCCCCCGTTTGAACATGGCTACTGTTAACACGAGCAGTGGCGGATCCAGGGGGCCCCTCCCCTGGGGAAAAACCCGTTAATTTAACTTTTTTTTGGGGGAAATGGGCCCATCCCCTGGCGCTCATGGGGGCCCCCTGGATCCGCCACTGAACACGAGCAAAGGAATTCATGAACTGTGTATTTTAAGCTGTTTACAAGTGTTCCATCGCCCTTCTCCTTCTCCTACTGCACCTCAGCCCCTTTCCTCCTTCTCCTGACCCTGCTCCTCCTCCCCTCTTCCTCCCTCTGCTACCCCTGCTTCTATCGATGTCGCTTGCTGCTGCTACAGCCTGCTACTACCGCTATTACCGCTACTACCGCTACTACCGCAAACAACACTACCACCACTACTACTGCTGATGCCGCTTCTACAACTACGAATGTTTTTTCTACTACTACTACTACTACTACTACTACTACTACTGCTACTACTATTACTACTACTACTATTACTGCTACTACTACTACTATTACTACTTCTACTACTACTACTACTACTACTACTACTACTACTACTACTACTACTACTACTACTACTAGTACTTCTTCTACTATTACTGCTACTACTACTACTACTACTACTACTACTACTATTACTACTACTACAACTACTACTACAACTACTAGTAGTAGTACTAGTACTACTACTGCTATCAGTACGATAGAAACTACAATTCGGCTCTCGGGCCGCGAATGTTTTTTTAATGAATTAAACCATTCGAAATAAATACAAATTGCTACTGCATTGTACTACTGCTACAACTACTACTACTACTATTATATTACTATTACTATCATGACTACTACTCCTCCTCCTCCTACTACTACTACTACTACTACTACTACTACTACTACTACTACCATATACTACTACTTCTACTACGATACCACTACTTCTATTACTATTTACACCACTACTGTACAACTACACAGCACTACATAGGCAGTACTACACTCTCTAAAGAAAGAAGAATGCACAGCCAAAAAGAGTAGTGGATTTTGCATCTTTTCACTTCTGACCTTGCCTCTTATTTTGATATTATGCACATTCGTTCAAATCGTCCACCATTTCATCGAGGAATAAACACATTTTCTATTGATATTAAGCATAGCGATGATTATGCCATAACAAAAGATATATAATCAATCATACATGAGTTTCCAACCTTTTAAGGGGCTTCAAGAAATACCAGATAATTAAAGGGGTTTGAGTCATTTAATTCACACGTATCTTTCCATAGTCCTCACTTTTGTAGACAAATCTAAACATTTCCTGTTTTCTTCATTTTAATATTACTGAGACATGTTCGAAAAGGCTTTTAAGGGCAAACTAAACGTTCCGCACGTAATTATCCGCTGTTTTTTTTAATTTGTTATTTTTTTTTTTATATTAAAGGATTGTTTGATGAACGTGATGAATATACAAGTCGATCAACTCATTTGCAAAATATCTGTGATATAAAAGCAAGGATTTAGTTGCTATACAAATGTTTATTGTTCCGGTCAATGAATTATCACAAAACTCTACACAACACAATAATTCAGGCAAATACTCTATTGGTCTTTGACTGGACGATGAAAGAGGAACCCCATCGGGAACCCTATGTCCTGCCCCGAAAAGGAAATATCCAATTATAACGGTGAAGGAAAAAAATAGAATATTTGATTTAGTCTAAGGCGGGTCAAAGTCATATCTTTCAGCTATTGTTCACCTGGTTGAGCATCATACTTCATGGCACCAGACTTATTCCAGTTAATAATATCATAAAATTATCCAGATCGTACCGACAAAACACAATATTATGAATGCTACTAACGTTATCATTTATCCTCATCATTATCGTTATAAGTATAGGAAACATGGATCCTATTAGTTATTGTTAATGTGCTTTCGGGCTTCTAGTTATGGATAAGAGAGAAACAAATTCAGCGCTGTCTACCCCCTTTTTTGCTTGATGATAGCCTTCAAAGTGCGCGGTGTTCCTTGAAAATATACCGTAGCAATGTTTATATAACCGCACGGGTAGTAAATCTGTTGTCGTTGCTATTGTTGTTGTTGTTTACAATGCAGTACATATTTGGTAACTATAGAGTGATCAGTTTCTATTTGTATCTTTAAAAAACGTTTGTGTTTCTGTTACAGGTCTGTTCCGTCATAGAGGAGAGGTGTGGTCTTTAATTCTTTCAGCCTGGACCTGGTTTCTAGACAGCGCACCGTCAACATGGCTGGAGAGCTGAAATGGAGATACTGCTCTAGCGTCTTGGTGATCGTCATGGTGTTGTTGGTGAAATGCATCTATGGAAGCAGGGATGGGCAGCTCTCAGCATACCTCAGAGAAGTTTTCCTAGATGAATCAGGCATTGCGCTCAACCAGATGGTGGTCAGCAATGAAAGTGGAACAGACTATGTCTACATTGGAGGAGTCTCAACACTTTATCAGCTTGACTTGAATTTGGCCCTACTGCAGCAGGAGAGCACAGTTCCAAGTGATCAAACATCATGTGAGAACACAGAATGCTTGTATGAAACCAAAATCTTGGAGGTAGCGCCGGCGCCCATCGGTAAACTCGTTCAATGCGGTGGACCAGAAGGCAAATGCGAAATTAGGAATTTGATGACGATTGCAAGAGAATTTGGATATGTCAATATTTCGTTAGTAAATGAGGGTATGTCTGTAGCAGTTCTTGAAATCACAGAGTCCCAGCCCCTAGAGATATTCATATATGTTGCCACATCAATTGATTCTAACAATCCTGGACGTGTTCATTCACCAATCACACAATTTGAAGTAATACAGCAACTAAATATTTTGGTTCCAATCAGAATCGAAAACATTAGAGAAATAGCAGCAATCGATTCTACAGTGGAATATATTCAAGCAATTCCGTGGACGATTTACAACTTCTTCATTGTACACAGTGGATCAGAGCATAGACGGCTGGGTAGACTCTGTTCTGAAAATCTTCAAGATGGTCTTAACGCTTACTCCGAAATCATTTTATCTTGTCAGTCGTACAGTATCCTACAATCAGCATACATCGATTCCAATGATGTGCTGTATGGGGTTTTCACAGATGGAACTCATTCGGCGCTGTGTTCCTACGCCATGACTGACATACAGGAGAGGTTCGTTGATACTACATGTGGCTGTGTGATAAGCGATGATCCAAGCTGTAGTGGAACAGCAATATCCTACCTGACGACGGATGCAATCTGTTCCCCAAGTCCCAACGTTAGTATACATCCATATTATACAAGCCCCTCCAAAACTCAATTATAGCTCTCTTACCATGAAATACTCATCGCTTTGATTATTATCATTAGAAAGTACCTTTATTGTCTTCAAAATAATACCATGGGGTGAACAGTACATCAGAATAACGGGCAAGATAAAAAGTAACAAGTTGTGAAATGAACTGGTTAGCACTTAATATTGTTAGGCAGAAGACTCTCCTTTCTTTGACAAATTGAACTGTGATTTTTGTATTAAAAGAGAATGGCGCTATATCAGGCAAGATTCACTACTGTTTGGTCATTAATTGTTTGAAACATAATGCTTTTGTTAACAACTGCTGAAAAGGCTCGGGCAATCGAGCAATTTGAATGCACAGTTGAACAACAGCAGCGCATTTTGCGACTTAAATTTTTTGACCTTGCCCCTTCTTTTTATTATACTGTATAGTCCATGCCTACATGTTACACACTTAATGCATAATCGATATGAATAAGCTGATTGGTAAGCTTGCAGCCCTGAGTTTAATATAAAAGGGAAGGAGTGACTCGTCATTAAGAAAGAAAGGAAAAGGGGATATATATATATAATAATAATGATAATAATAATAATAATGTCAAAGAATATTAATAATGATATTGTATACTAGCAGCTGGCATTGTTACCACTAACGCATTTTTGTATCCTTTCAGAAGGATGTGGTAAACATGAAATATACTAGAAAATAGTAACATACAATTGCTATACTAAGTTAGTAATTCAAGAAAGTAAAAAGAAAAGCAATTTTTGTTAGCTTGTATGTGTAATCTTTACAAAAAGAAAAATAATAGTCGTCATATTTTCGTAATCATGTTATTTTGCGTCTCGAGTATTCGATTTCAAGTGGATTTAGCACCTTGAAAATCTGTTATATTATTCTTATTGATCGTGACGTTTAATTCTTATACCACTGGTATGTTTTAAAAGGGCTTTATGTACAGAGTCTTCGTCACACATCCAAAATTATCATATACAACATATATACAACATAATCAACATAGATAGTTAGAAAAATCATTAAAGGCAAAATATAAAAGGAAATTTTGTTCAACTGACCACCCCCACCCCAATTCATTCCGAAGTTCAATTATCATTCATTGATAGACTAACCAATCGAGGGAATCTATTGAGGCAAACTATCAGTGCGGGGATGACGAGCAAATGCTGCTATTCAGTTATGCACAGGCTACTAGCTCCTTGGAGGGAAACCTACTTGGAGAAGCTCTACCGGGGGAAGATTCATCCATCATCACCTTACAGAAAGAAAATACAACTGTTGCCTTGGTTACCACTTCATCAACTTCGAATACTACTCTCAGCAAGGTTGTTTATATTTTTTTTTATTTTTGACTACATAGATCATAGGTATTTTAATTGAAAACATAATTAAATAATAGTAGATAATACGATTAGTAACAATATTGAAATTTTTATGATTTTATGTTTAGAAAATTGATAGTATATAGATGCTTAACATCTCCTATACGTACTATATGTGATATGTAGAACAACACAATCATAAACAAACATTTAGTTGCACAATGAGAATACTAGTCTATGTATTCCGTAATGCACGATTATATAAATAATTGTCTTTTTATGAGAATGAAGGAGGGGGGGGGGGTAGGGTAATTCCAAAATGTTTTGATGTAAATGTAGATGAACCTATGCAAGAGATTGCACCTGGTATTGTAATTTCAACTGTATATGAATGAATACGACCATAAACCAAGTTAAAAGAGTTATTTATTGATTTATCTTTTTATCGCGGTTACATATATTTTAGATCCATGTATTTCCTGATCATACTGGAAGATTATACGAAACCGTGAACTTGGAAGTGATAGGGAGTGTGCTGACTGACGTATACATCAACCAAGAAACAGAAGAACTCTTCACTCTTACCACTAAGGAGGTATAATATGCTTTATTCACATGAATCTTGATTGGGTTACTCTTTTTTTTTTACCGAACGTTCGCTTTTTGTCAAGATTCATAATGATGATTATAATGATGATAGTAATAATAATAATTAGTAATAGTAATATTAACACTAATAACAAGAACAAAAACAAATATGATGATAATGATAATAATAATAATAATAATGATGATCAAATGATGATAATAATAATAATAATGATATTTATAATAATAATAATAATAACATTGATATTTTTGTTTCCAAATAAAATCACAGATTATCATGTTCTCATTGATTTTCAGGTACTGAAACTGGCTGTCGTCAATTGTAGCCAATACAAGACATTTGCTGGTTGCATTGGTCTAAACCACGATGGCGGGGATCCCTTCTGTGGCTGGTGTACATTAGAGCAAAGGTAGGTGCATTTTTCGTGTTTTTATTTTATAAAATAATCCCTTTAATGTAGAAGTTCCATGCATTGGAACTGCAGAACTCCAGTGAGAATGATTGCTAAAGTTTAGTATAGTTAGGACTGAAAAAAAAAAAAAGAAACATGAAGGCATATTAATCGCAATCAAATTCTCTAATATGATAGAAAAATGGAAGAACATAATTATAAATGAATATGAAACACTGTTTCACTCACTTCTTTCTTCTTCACTGTTTCCAAAGGGGGCACTATGGGAGGAGGAGGTGGGGGCTGGTTTGATTTTGAACTTTTCAAATATATCATTAGAACATCTTGCATTGACTTAAAGATAAACTTGAGTTTTGGTAATGCGATTGCATTGTGAAAGAAAAGGTGTGGAATGGATCAGAAATGTTGATCATATAGCATGTAAGTAATGGTGTGTAATGCAAGGTTCTGGATTCATCAAAATCATCATAAATTTGGCAGAGTCTTGGTAAAGTAACAATCACTTACACAGAAAGATGTATATGGGACAACACACATGGTGTCGGGGCTAGTACTACCCTGATTTCCTTATCTTTCTATGCTCATTACTCAGCCAGTATACATTTTCTTCCAAAATTGTTTGGCACATGACATTTATTTGTTATCTTGAACATTCAGTGTAAGTTTCGTTAGATTCTGTGAGAATTATTTTTTTTTTTTTTTACCAGAACTCAAGTTTATCTTTAAATACACAAACTCTATCGAATTTTGGTGGTATATTTCTTTTTTTGACATACAGCTGCATTAGGATGAATGAATGTACAAGTAACGGCTCTGAATGGCGGCAATACCACCAAAAGTGTACTACCAATAATGATGAAGGGACTTGTCTGGAAATAGACTACCCTTCTGAAGGCATAGGTAAGTGTACTGTCGTATTTGAATACCAGGGGGGGGGGGGGGGCAAAAAGATACCATATCTACGGGTAGGCTGACACATTTTTTAAAGGAATATAGTTTTTAGAGAGCATTTTTTTTAACCATTTGGAATAGAACTCCTGTTACATCGTGTTTAGTTTTGTGTCAAAGAACTAGTAGAAAGCAGATGACATAAATCCATGATTTTTAATCAATTTCTCGACCCTTTTCGTCAAATTACAATGAAAAAACTTTTACAAATTATGAATATATCGGATATCCATAAATGACACGGGGACATATTGGATTTCCTTATAACTATTACTTTTTTCTTCATGTGACCTTAATAATATCCTTTTTTTAATTTTTTTTTCTTCTTCAAACGTTAAGAATGCTTGGTGCCATCTTTCCCAGCCGAGTTACTTACGCCGATGAGTGAATGTCTGCCTGGTGCAATTCCATCTGGGACGGTTTGCAATTATACATGTGGAGACGGATACAGTCTGATCGGAGTTAATAGTATTTTCTGCAGCATATATATTCCAGTATTCGTTCTCCCATCTTGTGAAGGTTAGGCGATGCCAATTGTGATAGGGTGCAATAGATTTGAAGAGATAAAGGATCACTTTAATGAGTTATGGATATATCTACGTAAGATGCCTTATAAACTTCGTAAACAATCATTTACATTCTAAAGTCTAGAAAAGTAAAAGACCTTGAGCTTAAACTTGATATCAATTTGGTCAAACCTGATATAAAATGAAATGAAATGTATCTTACAATATATCGATTTAATTTTTTTCCTGTTCATGATTTTACCCCCTCGGATTTAATAAACATGCTACAATTCTTGTCAAACGTGTATTGGTGTAATTTGACTGATTTGCTGTTATCTTGCAGATGATGAAGCACCTTTTCTGAACTGCCCAAATATATCTTCTACTACGGACAAGGGACTTAATTCTTCATCTACTGTTCTGCTTAGCTCAACTGCAACTGATAATGTGGATTTTCTTCTAGATGTGAATTGCTCCCATTCATCCCAAGATATATTCCTGATCGGGGACACCACTGTGAACTGTTCATCTTCAGATTCTGCAGGAAACACTGACACTTGTCTTCTCGTTGTCACAGTAATAGGTGGGAATTTATTTATTCTTTATGTCTAAAAGTTGGTGTTTTTTCTCAAATTTTCATACCCGGTGAAAACATTTTCTTTTATAAATGATAAAACAAAATCAAATTAAAACAAGCAAAAATCAAAAACATGTAATGAATATCATCTCCTTTAAACTAATATGATTGAGATGTTCAATTATTTCCTGGCCATATTTATGAAACAGTACCTGAAGCATATTCGTACAAGATAAGCTATTATTACAGATGATGACAAATAAATATGTATTTTAAATCAACGATTACAACGAATAAAACGGGAAAGGTTATGCAACATCTTCACGGTTTTTTGAATTAATAACACTATTTCGGTCGATATCGATGGCAAATATGATTCAAATTGATTCCCCAGAATTCATTTATTTTTTTCTTTGACAGGCTTGGTTTGATAACAATATAAAACGTTCTGTCGATTCAGAAATCTACAATATGATAACTTTGTATATCAGAGAATAACGGATTCCTTACCTATCTAATTATATTGAATTGGAGAGACATGCTAAGAACAGACATGCTTGTATGGCGCATGGCCCTAAGACTTCATTACGTAATATTACAGAGTCTTGTTTAAACAAACAGATCGAGAGCTACCGGACATCACCTGTCCAGCAGACATCACTGTACCTAACCAACCTGGTGAATACTACGCAAATGTTACATGGGAAGATCCGGTTGTTTCTGATAATTCTGGACAGTTCTACACATCTGAAAATATCCCATCAGGCACCCTGTTTCGTGCAGACCAAACATTCTGGGTGGAAATCTCTGCTTTTGATTTCAGTGGAAACGTTGCGAACTGCTTGTTCAATGTCACAGTCATAGGCAAGTCATAGCTGCTAAACTATCTATTTCCTATAGGCTATGTGTGAAATTTAGCCAATATGATCATACCAATCCTACGGTGACTGTTAATTAATCAATCAAAAATATCAATAAACGGGCCGGCTGGTTGTGCAGACTATAGCCATCACGAAAAAGCCAACAAAAAGCCAACATCGGCATCGTATTTACAACGGCTGGTTCCAATTATCGAATGTTTGTGGGGCACCAAAAATATTAGAAAATGCTATATTTATGGATATTTTAGCCGTCTCTAAACCGATCTTGATCAAACATAAATAATTTTGTCATTTAAATTGTATGTTCTTTCAAGTTTAACACTCAGTTTTTCATTATTTTTTTTTTTTTTTGGTTTTTTTGTTGTTGTTGTTTTAAATGATATTTTATTTCCTTCCTCATCATTTCACATAACAAGAAATTCACATAACAAGAAATTATCAAATTAAGCAATATAAAGCAAGATCTTTGATACAAAACATTTCATGAGTTACATCAATCAATGAACATAGAAAAAAAAGGGGAAAAATATTCTTGCATGTAACAGTGTATAATCAAAATAACCGTAGAGGAAGGTTTAAAGTGTAGATTTTTTTCGTTTTAAATGATATTTTATTTCCTTCCTCATAATTTCACATAGCAAGAAATTCACATAACAAGAAATTGTCAAGATAAGCAATATGAAACAAATTCTTTGATACAAGACATATCATAAGTTACATTAATCAATGAACATAAAGGGGAAAAAAAAGGGGGAAAAAAAAAAGTCTTGCATGTATCAGTGTATAATCAAAATAACAGTAGAGGAAGGTTTAAAGTTACATATTACCATCCTATCACAACACTCTCACACCCCCCCCCCCCCTCTAGCCCACCCACACATATATAAACGGAGCATATTTTTTTTGTTTTAAATGATATTTTATTTCCTTCCTCATAATTTCACATAACAAGAAATTCACTTAACAAGAAATTATCAAATTAAGCAATATAAAACAAGATCTTTGATACAAAACATTTCATGAGTTACATCAATCAATGAACATAGAAAAAAAAGGGGAAAAAAATTCTTGCATGTAACAGTGTATAATCAAAATAACCGTAGAGGAAGGTTTAAAGTGTAGATTTTTTTCGTTTTAAATGATATTTTATTTCCTTCCTCATAATTTCACATAGCAAGAAATTCACATAACAAGAAATTGTCAAGATAAGCAATATGAAACAAATTCTTTGATACAAGACATATCATAAGTTACATTAATCAATGAACATAAAGGGGAAAAAAAAGGAAAAAAAAAAAAAGTCTTGCATGTATCAGTGTATAATCAAAATAACAGTAGAGGAAGGTTTAAAGTTACATATTACCATCCTATCACAACACTCTCACACCCCCCCCCTCTAGCCCACCCACACCACACCCCCTTTCACACACATAAACAGCCATACAAACACAAACACACACTGCATGCAACCTGTTCCCTCAACTCACATCACACAGACTCTTCACCCCCCCCCCCCCCTAGCCCACCCATCTCACACACCCTTCACGCCGACACACACGCTGCATGCAACCTGTTCCGGTTTGTCCACCTGTACACGAGAGAGAATTAATAATACTACTACTAATAATAATACCCACATAATACCCACGTCCATTAAGGTAAAAATGCATCGATTTGTTCCCATTTCTGTAAGTGCATCCCCAGTTTCCCCTTTTTGAAGGCTATTTTGTATTCCTCGTCTCTGTAATTCTTAAGCATATGTACTGTTTTCTGTACAGATGGCAAAGTTCCTTCTTTTCTAGAAATAAAAATGATATACTTTACTAAAAATATGATACAATTTATTACAAATATTCTAGTAGTATTTCCGGATAGTCCCATAAATATGGGTTTCCAATCATCAATGTCGATTTCGATTAAATGTAACTTTTGAATTACCTCCTGCCATAATCTTTTAACTTTAAGACAATCTAAAAATAAATGTTGGTATGTCTCTACTTCAAGTCCACAAAAGGAACAAAAATGGTCTGACTCAAAACCAAATTTAAAGAGCTCTCTTTTCGTATATACAGCCCCTTGTAATTGTTTG